TCTATTTTCCAATCCAAAATATTTCCCAAAGTCTTTTTCAAAAATCATCTTAGGGGTAGGAGAAGGGAGCAGAGCAAACGGGGCAACCAAGAATCCTCACACCATCACAACGGAGCACCATGCCCTTGGTGAATCCACCAATTCAGCCTCACTGTTCTCAGGGAGTTTTTATAGAACTGTCAGAGAACTGTAGCAACCACAGCAGTAAGTCTCCAAAAAGAAGATTCAAGGGGTGTGGGAATAATAATTCCCTTTTCTGGAGCAGTTGCAGCCTCAGGAAAGTGTTAATACTGTGAAATTCTCAGTTCAGCACTTAAAAACCAGATGGTTTTAAGCCAGAGGATTGCTAAGTGGGCAATATTGTTGCCAGTCCCCCTTGGTATACCTACTTTTGCCACTTTTTCATGTTACCTTTCAACAGATAGCTGGATGATTGACAGTTGGCAACAGTGCAGAAATCAGCCTATCCGCAGCTTCGCTGTGTCAGTCTCCTGTGTATGTTACCTGCTATGCTGGCTCCTTTGAAAGCTGAAACTTACAAGACAACTACACAGTTTCCTCTATATTTTTAAAATAGCAGTTAGCAGCTGCACACAAATTAGCCTATGTGCGGTTACACAACTTTCTAGGGCTGGATAGTGAAAATGATTCTAATTTTCTGTGTGAAGGGGGTGGGATGGGTTGAAGGAAAAAATGGTGGGAAACACTTCATTTTTAAAAAAATTAAAGGGTGGCAAAAAAAAGCCATGGTTACTCGGAAGTGCTGTTTGAGCACCTGTGAGCAGGCTGTCACTTGTGGCGGTGTGGCTGAGACTACAAAGAGTAGCAGGAGGTTTGTCCCTCTAGCCAAGCAGTGTACTATCACATCCCCACTCCCCACAAATGAAGTGCTCTCTTGGGTTCAGATCACACAGCTACCCATCACGGACTGAACAGCTTCTAGATCAAGCTATGGGTTGCCATGGTGGCTTGTTTCAAAAATAAGCCTCCCTGTGGAAAGCAGTCAATGTGGCTGGTGCCCCCAACGGGTTGTCATGTTGCACAGACACACTCATCATTTCTTCAATAGGCAACCATTACACCAAGGAGCAAACAGACACGGCCTCTTCCCACAATGCCATAATTTCTTTATTGGAAAGTTTCATCCTGGTTTGTAATCTTGGTTTTTCATATGATGGCAATTTCTGTTGTTTCAAGAACAAAACAATACATTTTTAAAAAATATTGGGTGCAGGGAAAGAAGTAGCATACAAGCCCTATCTGTCTTTTAAGCACATAAGGACATAGGAGCTATATGAACTTGCAAAACTGGAATAACTACCACTTCTGATGCATAGAAAGGTTTGCAATATGATCATCTGCAGAGTGTTTGTTTTTCATTAAAAGGTTTAGAGAAATCCAGTCTTAGAAATCCATTTCTATTGTTGTTATTAAAATCAACACATCCTGAATGACTTTACATGCTTCGTTCTCATGACTCTACTTCTGGCTTAAAGGCTGCTGTGCCCAACTCCCAAATAAAGAATGCTGAGATGGGGCCCACATGGCAAGTGAATATGGATAAGGGAATCATGGGCAGCCACCCAAGTAAGTTCAGCTTCAGCATAAGAATAAGGGGGTTCCCATCAATTCTCCTTGCATTTGCACCTCTCCTAACCTGTGTTGGGCTGCAACTCCCACCCATCTGGAAGCCATCAGGTTGGGGGAAGTAGATCAGTGCTATAAAGGGAAACGAATGCTCTCATTAAATTCGCAAGAAACGATAGCAAATAATATTAAAAAGAAAGATATTTTAAAAAAACTTTGTTTGCTTCCAGTTAGCATAAGGAATTGTGCAGGACATCTCAGAAGCCCCCTTTTAGCTGAACACACCCTTTCACTGCACACAGAAGGGAAGCAAATACACACACGACTGGGAACATACTAAGGTCAAACATTCCTGTCCTGTTAATAATTAATTTGAGTTGCTATGGATCAAGTTGCCTGTGACAAGGTTTCCTAAAAGCTTATTATAGTTTTCACAGACATAATGTGAAGCAGTAAGCCAGTGAATCCCACAGTGTGAGTCAGGCCAGGAGAAACACAAGTGAATACTACATCTGTGTCAAACAGTGGCATGGGAGCAGCAGTTCATTAAAATAAAGTAATAACGCACTATGCACAACAGGTTGTTGTTAATTTCAGTCACTTACACAGCAGGACATTGCCATTTTCTTTGTACTGGTTTTTGCAGGAGTCTGTGAATGACTATCATATATATATTACTTTTAGTTTCCATCAGACAAGTTCATGACTAAGTAGGGATTAACCAGGTACAATTCCAATCCTCTTAAATTTCCTGGAATAACACTTTGAAAATGGATGGCAGGTAATGTGGCCCTAGCTGCTACACACACGTAAAACACCTGATGTAGCTCACATGTCAATATGGGCACTACTCACCACATTCTCCTCTTTTGTTCTTGGTTTGGGAAAGGGAGTAGGGGGCCAGGTTTAACCCAAGTCTTTCAAGCTACTGACCCCTATTGTAGTGACTGAACTAAACAGGAATGGCTGTCTGTATCAATTCAGAAAACAAAACATATATAGAAAATCAGAGTGGAGTAGTGGTGAGAGTCTTGGATAGCGATCGAGGAAGGCAAGTTCTAGTCCCTACTCATGTATGAAATTCCCTGGCTGAATTTGGGCCAGTCACTGACCTCAGCCTAGCCCACCACACAGGAATTTTATGAAGATAAAATGGAGAGGAACAAGGCCATGTAAACTGTGTTGGGGGTGGGGGTTGGTAGAAAAAAGGCAGGATATAAATGCAATAATAAATAAAATTAAAATGAAGAGGTAGGTGACGGCATACAACACTCCAGTTATGGAATTCTCACCTCAGCAAGATTTTCCTAGCATTCAGCCTGACATCTTTTGATCTTCATGTTATGGCATTTCTATTTGCCCAGGTCTTACAGTGATTGCTTTTACCTTATTTCTGTACTGTGACTGGTTATGCACAGATGCTCTTCTCTTATCTTTCACTTAGGTCTAATTGTTGCCTCCTCAGTCTTAAAAGATTTAAAACACTGCAGTAATGTTGGGCTGGTTCAGATACAATGTTCAATTTATTTATTTAAAATATTTATATTCTGTATTTCGTATATGGAAAAAAATACCCCAGGACGGCTTACAAAAACTATAATAATTGATAACAAAACAACAAATAACAACAATAAACAACAAAAACATAATACCAGCAAAAACAAAATTGAAATCAAAATCAAAATCAAAATGCAACTGTGAGTGTTATAACCAATTAAAATTCCTAGTTCTTAAAATGGCAGGTAAATAAAGAGGTTTTCACCTGGAGCCAAAAGGAATATAAAGTCTGCACCAGGCAAACTTCTTCGGGGAGCGCATTCCAGAGTCTTTGTTTACAATTTGTTTACAATTCCAATAATATTTTTTCTCTTTTTCCCCAGAGTTCCATGCATGGTTGTGATCTAATATGCAACATGTTCCATGTCAGATCAGCTGTAGTTTCTATGTTGCTCGAATCCAGAGAAACTGCAGTTAATCTTAATAATAGCTAGTGAAAACAATCAAATTCAAACCATAGTTTATGGATCATAGTTTCTGAACCATGGTTTATCAAATGAAACTATTGTGCTACTGCTTAGTGTTACACCTGAATGCAGATATACCATCACCTTTTCTAACAGCCCCAGAACGAGCTTTAAAGTGATGGAGAAAGGGAAAGGGAAAAAGGGATTTCTCTCTTGCACGCACTCTCCAAGGATGGGGTGACTTTCAGCTTTACCTTAGGAACTTTTCTGCCTTCTGTTTGGGGAATGAGTTGTCTAAGGTCAAAACTTACATTTATGAAGGAAATTAGAAGGAAATTGAAGAAGACAGAACACAGATTTGTGTTCTGGCAGACATCCAGCTCTCTCCATTAAAAAAATGAAGTAGAACAGAAGAATGCCCTTAGGTGACTGTGGAATCCATTATTCCAGGCAAGAGAGTGTCCAGTAATTTCACCATTTTACCAGATACATCCTGCTTCCATGATACTATTACCTAGCATAGAAGACAGCACTCACAATTGCTTACTAAATAGTCCTTCTTAGTCCCCTTTAAAACCATCTGATGTTTGCAATTATATTATTCCAGAAGTTGAGCTGTATTAATATAGTTGTTTCAAATACAAGGCATTTCTTCCTGTTCTACCCTCCTGAAACAGAACATGTGTTATACCAGGAGTCAAAGGCTCTGCCCATTTTAAGAAGAATACACTCAGATACAAGAAGTGTTACATAATGAATGGAATGTAGCTGAGTAAGGGCAAAAGGGTAACTGAAAATTCTTTCCCACCATTCTCACAGATGAAACTGTATAGGCGTTTGGCACAAGTTCATAGCCTATGTCCCTATCATAAATAAATGGTATCCAACACAATTACTACTAATGCAAGAGGCATTAAAGAAAGGGGTGTGGAGAGAGACTATACTAGTGGATTAAGAAACAACCTACAATACAATCTGGCACACAGGAAAAAGGAGCCATCTGTGATAGATTAGCTGTTCATTCACATTGCTCTGCTCAGCTCCTAAACCTGTTAGGATTAGGAAGACAGAAACTGCTCTTCTGAATGCCCCGATTCACATTCTTCAACACTGTACTAAGATTCACCTTCCCACACCCTTACAGGACCAAATATACACAGGCTTATTCTAAAACTAATTTACGTACATGCTTTTCTTGAAGATAGTTGACAATATAAAACAGAAGATAGCAGTGGATGATCTCTTTGGCACAGCTGCAACTAGTGAAGACTAAAATATAGTGATATGATCACTTTAACACTCAGTTACTGGAAAGCGTCCTGGTTATATTGGCATCAAGCACTTCTAGTTTCTTTAGACGGCCAAGAGGGACAGACCTAATTCTGCAATGTGCCCAGCTCCAGAGGTTTCATGAGCTCCTGTCCACTGCCAATGTCACAATCTGGATGCCTGCAACTTAGGCTGACCTTTGAAAATGGAGTTCTTGACCATACAGAGGCAGCCCTCAGGGAAACCGCAAGAAGAGGGACAAGGGCAGGGAGAGTTAAGGATATCCTCAACATTCTTCTCCTGGGCATTTCCAGCTGCAGTCATAAGGTAACTTTCGTTTTAAAAAGGAATATATTGTTGCCAGTCCTCATGGCCACACAATAGACTTTAAAGAGTTTAGGCAATCTTAGGACCCTGAAAGTGGCTAAGAAACTTTATAATCTTCAGTGTTCTGTTTAAAGGTGAGTTTGCATCAGTGGGAAATGCTTCGAACCAGTCAGGTCATTACATTTTTACACTTACATTTGGGAGATTTCTAGCCCATCCAATCACTCTGTGTCTCTGGACAGCTCACATTTCCCACTGTCCTTCCCTCCTGAGGATTTGAAGGCAGCCTCAAACACAACATTTCAGGACTGCAGTAAAGCAGCTGTGCCAGCTTTTATGAACAGAAGCACGTTCCACCACATCACCTCTGTGTTTTAGCCTATAATCGTAGTCATCCCTTGCTCCTCACGACCAACAAAATGATGCAAGGTTGTTTAGCTTTTTATGTTTAGGCAGGTCATAGAATACCTGTCCTTTTTGAAGCTCAGACACCAGATTTCCACAGTGAAGACATTTTTTTTTTCAAGGCACATCCTTGCTCATATACCTCCAGGATATGGATCACCAATCAGGCCATTTCAACTCAGTAAGCATGGAACCGTTCTTCACAGTCACTTAAGTAGATCACTATTTTATTTCTGTGCCACGTTTTCTACTGTTGACAAAGCACTTGAATCAGCTTAAAAAACTAAGAACCTATGAAACACCTTGCAAACACGCTCAGAACCCCTAAATCACGGTACATCTACAACAGTACTACCATCTAAGAGCCAGATAAAATGTCACATATTGCAATCTTTTTGAAAACACAAATCAGTTTCTAAGAAAGGTTTTTTGAAGAAATGAAAATCAGAGAAATGTATCAGCCAACGGGCCCAGCCAGAGCAAGAGTTGCGCCATGGTGGCACTAGTACAGATCTCACCTTGGGAGAAGAAAGGACATGGAAGAGGGTTACCACCATAAACCCACGGATAAGGGAAGTTATACAGACCCTTGCTAGCTTAGGGCTTTAAATAGACACTACAAGCTCTTTGACATAAGCATGGAAGCCCTATTGGCACAGATGAGCTAAGAGCAGAATTATGTGCTTTCGGCAACTGGTTCCACTCCATACAAAATCAAGTCACAACGTTCTGCAAGCTTGTAAATCGTCTCTAAAAACAGCCTCCACAAAATGTTTGGCAGCAGGATAATTGAGGCTACAAATTGTTTGGGGTGCCAAACAGCCTTAGACACTGCCAATACCAGAGAAGTTAGTAGGACAACTGGATGCAGAGGTGCCCTAAAGCTTCCAAGGGTTGTCCAAGAAGGAAGGTGCAAAGAACCCATCAAGGACAGGCAAAGCCAAAGGCCCACCAGATATTATTTACCTCTTTCCCACCACTACTGTCTTGCTATGAGTAAACTACAACTTAACCCCCCTCCATGCCACAAGCAGATTCAGGCATTCATTTTGAGAGTCCACTGAAAACTCGACTTGTCTGAAATGTTCCACGTGTCACGAGAGCAGCAGCATGGCCTGAAATTAGCATCCAACTGGAACATTTGCCCCTGGTCAAACTGCACAGTGCATATGCACCAAGTTCATTTCCCCTCTGGTTTATCAGACTTGCAACCGGGGGAACAGCCTGCATTAATTTGTGACATGTCTAGATATAATCTGCTGAAGAAGCCACGGGACAGAGCAATTCCCTTTAGAACAAACCATGCCTGTAGTCAAGGTGAGAAAAACGGGGGAGGATTGCCACATTATGCCCATAATTCATGCCGTAAACTGACCAGTGCACAGAGGAGATCCACGGCCTCTAAAACAAGCTCCTGATGTCCAATACGGGTGATCCCCAACTCTTCAAGATCCTGGTGGGAAATCTGTAACAGCTGGGCACCATTTATCTTCTCGCGTTCAAATTTTGGGACATACTGCTGCAGGCAGTCATCCAACCCTAAATAAGAAAGGATGCCATTATAAACATATTATACATAGACAGATATAGAGATAGAGGCATAGGCATAAGTATAGATGATATAGATAAAGGAGTGAAAACATCCAGATCATCATCTCACATTTATATACCTCCTTTTTTCATTTTGTGAAGAACCCATGGCAGTTACATAGCTCCATTTTACCCTCATAACAACAACCCCGAGGTAGGTTTAGGATAAAATGAGTGACTGACCCAAACTCACCCAGTGAGCTTTACAGTCAAGTAGGGTCTGGAACCCAACACTCCTAGCTCCCCAGACCAGTGCTCTAACCACTACACCACACCAGCACTTCTCTAACTTATTGCTGCTTAAATAAAGTGCTGAAACATATGTTCCCAAATCTCAGGTTTTCTTCACTCACCATTATAAGCACTATAAAAATAAAGGCAAGAGAGGGCAAGTAAGCAAGAAAAGTAACAAGAAGATGAAAGGACATGATCTCCAAACAGTCCCACTATATTTAATTTCTGCAATTCCATACAGACTTATGGAAGGAAGTTTCTTTAAATGTACTAGAACTTATTTCTCATTAAAAACTGATAGGATAGCACTGTAATGTGATTTCTAGCACATCCCACTGGACCCATTTGTGATTACAATGCCCCTGTGCCCCCTTCTCCATCCTCCAACTTAAATCATCCTTGTAGATGTTCCGCTACCTCCATGCTCATTTCCACTTCTCTCAGTGCCTTTCTCCGACATCCCAGCTAAGTGCTGCAGTTGATGCAACTCTGGTTATGGCTGGATTCAGTGCTGTGATGTCGTGGGGAGTTTGGGGAGCAGGTGATGATAGGACTGAAAAACAGTCCTTCTCAAGTTCGTAAAAAACTAAGCTTAATTACCTCACCAACAAGGTCAGAATGGTATAAATCCCTGCCATCAATACTAAAAGTTAAGGATGTCCGCAGACTCTCTTGCCACCACAGGACTGACTATCCCTGGTCAGGTTAGCGTCTTATTTCCACTCAGCAAAGCTGCAGTTTCAATGCAGTGTAGGTCTAAATACAAGTTCTTGGTCTTTTTAGCTGCCAGAATTAAGGAGTTGCCTGCAGGGGAAGGGTGGATTCTAATTCCTATGCTGCAAGTAATGTATTAACATACTTATGAGATTTATAAAAATGTTTTAATGTTGTTGCACATCATGAGGTCTCAAGACGCACATTATATGTTCTCTGATGAACTGATGCACGTTCCCTGTGATAAGGGATACCGTCTGCATATAAAAACTTGGATGTAGTCCAAAATTAAGGCATTAACACCAGTGAACCTAAGAGGCAAATTAACTGGAAACATCACCATAGAGCTGCCTTCCCCAGCCTGAAGCTCTCCAGATGCTTTAGGTGTCAGCTCCCATCAATTCCATTGTGGCCAATGGAATACTGGAAGCTGGAGCTAAAACATCTGGAGGTTATCAGGCAGAAGAACACTGCCATGGAGCAATATATTCAATCTTCGGTGAACACTGAAGAGGCTATAGGACAACTTGGACCTAATAACATCCACAGAATGTAGGAAAAAGTGAATAGCTGAGTGTACTAATCAATTCTGAGAACATCTATTAGAATCTAATGATTGGGGTCATAGGAACAAAGGATGCTGCCCTTACCAGGTCACACCTTACCAGCCACTGTCAGTCAAAGGACTTTACCACTATATGCTATTATTATCTCTTTTACCTGCAGAAACCTGAAGCCTTGAAGTTCAAAGGGCCCCTTCACCTTTACTAGAAGGTGTCATCTGCCCTGCATGCTACACCTGCCAAAATTTTCTCTTCCACAAGGAATATGTTGAAATACAAAAATGCTAAGGAGAAGACTATGCATCGAAATTAGGGTGCACCTCCCTCTTCATAGCCTTCATCAAGCAGCCACTTTATATTTGGGGGCAAGGGGGAGGAACCATGTGCTATACTGACTACGCCCCCCCCTTCTTGTCACCCCACTCACTGAAAATCCTTAAGTTGAAGAAAGCTCTGAGAAGGCAGCAGTCCTGACTCAGTGCTGGGTCAAAGACACAACAGAATGCCAACGTTCTCAAGAAATATATAAAATAACCATTTCTTGGCAGCTTTTAAGAAAATTACATCCTTCCCTCCTCCTCAGAACAAAAGCAGACTTTCCCAGCCACCCACAAGATTATACCCTTGCACTCTAGATTAATTAACCAACTCAGCTTGGCTTATACTTCATTACTAAACTAGATCAGTACAGTCACTTTCTATATAAATATGCATCAAAAGAGTGAAGACAAAATTCCATATTTAATCACTCATAATTACTGCTTTACATAGGCAATCAAATTAAGTTAGGGAGTAACTCCATAATGACCTACTCCAATTATGTGTTCTAAGGGACAACAATGCACATGCAGCCTCTTTGCTTCCAAAAGGACTTTGCCAGCTGCAGAAAATGACCAAAAGAACCTTACTACAGAATTTCTGTTGCAGGTGGAAAGAAGACCAGAACCGTGCAGGCCCAAGACAATTTGTTGCCAGAAATGGACCCCAAATGTCCCTTTCCCATCATCCAGTTATGGCCAACACTTTGAAAGTCTTGGTGCACCATTTAAATACTAAATACAACCTTTATCAATCTGATCCAATAATGCAACTTGAAAAAAATCAGGCCCAGCCTTAGAGAAAAAAGAAGAGTCAGTGGCTCATCCAAAAACAATATGAAAAACAGACCATTTGGAGCAGAGAAGCACAGCCCTTGATTTATTTTATTTCTTCCTAAGAGCCATATCTCTCTGGGCAGTTCACAGTCAGCCCTAAAAAGCACAAGCCAAAAATACAGTAAGAGCAACATAAACATGTCAGCCCCAAGTGCCACATCAAGTATCTGCTTGGACAATATACCATTAAGGAAGCAGAAATGCCATGCAATTGTTAGGAACTGCATGGCTGCTATCCCAGCAGATTTCACCCAGGATGCCTTGGATGGAAATAGATAGGCAGCTGGGTGGGTAGATGACAGACAAAGATGGTTGTAGCAGCCTACATTAATAAGCAGGAGAGGAGATGGGGAGAGGATGCTTCCCTTCAGTTACCAGGGACCTGGGACTTCCCAAATGCCACTGCCTCTTAGGGCAGGATTGTCATTCAACAACACCAGGTACTTTAGGTCATGTAAATTATATTGGAAGACAGACTGGGGTAACCTTCACACCTATTTGCTCAAACTGTCTTCCAGACTAATAGCAGAAATGCATTCTCTGACTAGAAAAGGTGATGTGGTGTGTGTGTGTGTGTGTGTGTGTGTGAGAGAGAGAGAGAGA